CATATTTCAAAACTTATATTAGATGTATTAAATTTTCGTTTTATTTTTTTAGTATCTTAAACCTCCAAAAATTAATTTCGAGTCGAAAAGAAAGGGTAAAGGTAGAGGAGGAACAGTTAAAATGGCCAAAAAGAAGAAAATCGTTCAAGAGCAGGCCAAAAAGGTAAAAAAGTAATTCTTTAACTGTCAGTGATACAAAANTCAAAGAGTCTCCTCCATCTGACTTCTTACGAACCATTTCGGAATCTGGAAGGCGATTATAATCTCCCACTCGTCTTGGTAATCCTGTACGGTGGGAAGAAGGTCTGGGAGGTCTAGGCAACGAGCTAGGTGGTAAATTATCGGGAGTGTGGGCAGTGGCACTGTTCTGTGTAGGTGTTGTGGGCACCTCTGGCGAGTCCTGCATGCGCTGTTGTTGTGACGTACGGCCCTGTTTTTCGAGTAGTAACATGTCGCCCGCCTCGTGTCGAGGGGATGGCTGCAAGAGGAACGTGCCCGAATCGAACAGGCCACTGCCATTCGAACTCACACTCGCCAGTAGTGGCTTGGGAATTTTTCCTTTTCTCTGCGCAGTGACTGGATTATTGAATCCTGGAAAACAGCAAAGACCCCGCTGAAAATGAGAAGATAACGCAAAGTTTGGACGTGTCCGGACCTGGAGAGAGTAGGTTAGTCACGGCACGCCACTTCACGCAGAAATAATAAACATGCAACAAGCGAAAGACTGCCAGTTATGTAGGTTGCAAAAAAAAAGTAAAACTTTTTTCAATTTAAAGTATTTCATGATAGAAAATTGAACTGAGATGCAAAATAGATATCAACTTCCTAGGAAGAAAATCAACGACGGTATATTATCGTTACTTACCTTATCAGGTACATTATATATATAATTAAAAATAGACTTAAACACCAAAATATTTCGCGAAATTTTTTTTAAAGTTTCGAACTTATTAAATGTTAAGATACTATTGCAGTGAGTCAAATTGCCCAACCACATGAACACCATAAGTTATCACATCATTTTCCTTTTTCTGATTTACAAATGAAATACCTTTAAATGTTGCATGTCATGCATCAGGAGGGGTAGTGGGACAAAAAACCGTAGCATAAAAAATTAGATACTTTATTGATAGCATGCTTAGGTATATAACAAGGAACACCAAACAAACATGCAAATGATTTTTTTACAATGAAACAATGCCACAGAATGACATGGATTCGAAGATGCGCTATGTGATTTTTTTTCCAACTACTTTTCCTCTTATTCTTTTAATATATTTGTACAATGAGAAGCACTTGAATCCAAGCCACTCTCTCAATGTGCACATAAATAAATTAGAATTATTGTGAGTATGCACAATATTAACACTGATACTGTTAGAACTCTCTAAATTAAAAAAAAAAAAAAATGAAATAATTCTTTTTCAGTCTCTTTTCTAAAGACAACAAAAATAAACACACGCATCGAATTTTATCTTGCGACGCAAAAAGAAACAAATAGGAACAATCTCCCCTAAAACACAACAAACGGCACAGTAGCAGTGGAAACCTGTTGTCATTATAATAATTATTAATTATTATTATCGTCACCATTATTACAAGTATTATTATTAAATCAACTGTGACGAATGCTATCTTTTATTATTTTCTTTTTTTTCGATTTGAAACATGTTTTTTTTTTTGAATAACGCAAAAAACTACTTATTCTTTTAAATTCCTTCGCTATTAGAAAAACTAGAATTGCTGGATGAGTTGCTGTCAGAACCTCGCGTAGCAGCAGAGCTCATAGGGCTGCCTGACCTGTTGGCAGGGTTTTGAGCTGCTTGGAAAAGCTGCTGTAGCGTAGTAAGAGTAGTGCCTGAAATAATTCACAGCCAAATCAGAAACCACTAACCTTTGATACCGATTGAAGAACTCAAAAAACAACAATAAAAGGACAAAAGCATATATCCACTGACCTCCANTTTGGGGCGGTGCTGGTGGTTTCGGAGCATCCGAATCTCCTAATACTATATTGACTAGACAGTATTCCATTAACGCCAAAAATACAAAACTGAAACATAAGCAGATATACCATATTGGTATTAAACATAAAAATACAAAATGTACAGACATTGCATTGTCTGAAATCCTGTTAGATTTTTCAAAATTATCATCATTGAAATTGACGAATGAAGCGAAACTACATAGTTTATTTAAACTTTTAAATACCTTGAAGTCATGATTCTGGAAGTCTCTTTGTTCGAATGGTTAATTGTATACTATAAATTTTTTTTCATTATCACCAACACTTGTTGGACACGCAATTTCACTTGTTCCTATTATCTCAAGTCAATCTTCACATTTTTCGAAAAATATTTTAAGCTAATCTCTCACTATTTCCGAATAGTAATCTAATCTAAAAAAAATCCCCTATTCCCGAATTCTACCTTACTCCTGAATTGTTATCAAAAAGACGGATAATGCTAGTTATTGTTGTGTTTTGTGAAAATTAATGAAAAGTAATACAAGAATTTTATGGCATAAAAACAATAACTTTATTTTGTTTGTAACCAAAAACATGTTAACACAATCAACTGACTGAACAGGTGTGGTTATACATTATTTTAATAGTATTATTTACAAAAGTTTAAGGCGGTATCACATTTTTCTGTGTTTAATTAAAAAACCTGGTGTGAAAGAAGAAATTAAACGTCACTACAAATTTATGCTGAATGTGAAAGTAGCATCATATTTATAAAAGAAAAGTTCTATGTTCAAAAAAGGATAGTATGTAAAGCATATCAAAAATAAATGGTTTAAGATAATTGAATTTTCTCTAAGTATAATAACTGTTTAATAAATATAAGTTATAAAGAAGAAACTGCTTTACCTTGGAAACGATAAAATATTTAAATATTTGCAAGTGGACACGTTAGGAAATAAATTATAATTAGATTAGTTGATAAAGCACCTACATAAACAAATTTTTGTGGTAAGTCTATATAATTCAATAAAAAGAGATTGTTCTGATTTGTAGTTTATCAATTCTTTCTGTACTCCTCAATCTTCCTAGTTGAAATGTAAGACAAATAAAACAAAGGTTTCTGATCTCATCAAAAATATGCAAAAACAGCAACCTCTATGTCGAAAAATTTACCTCCTGCAAATTCAAATTTTGTAAATTACGACCTGAAATGTGGAATGAACTTTTTGTTTATCACATTGTTTTCCTTTATATTTGTTATGTTAATATTAAAAAAATATATACGATATTTACGCTCTAAATATATTTTAAACGCTCGACAAAGTCGTAACTTAACGTAATAATTAATAGATTTAAGGTAAATAAAAATGCAAAGTGAATTGAAACTGCTATATTTTAACAAACTAGCGGTTCATTAAAAAAAAAAATGAAATAATTCTTTTTCAGTCTCTTTTCTAAAGACAACAAAAATAAACACACGCATCGAATTTTATCTTGCGACGCAAAAAGAAACAAATAGG